CTACAAGAAAACCGTAATACAATGGCGGTATCTCAATGGCCGTTCAAAAAACCGACCCCAAATCCAGTGAATAACAGGACCCCTAAGCTATTTAATTTTCCCCACCTCTTGAGACGCTATGTATCCATCCCATTGGCATATCCTATTTATTTATTTTTTCGTCTTTCCCGCAACAAACACATTTCGTAGTCTCCCACTGTTCATTTCATTTCTATTTTCTCACTAAGCTCATATTTATGAGGACAGTACCTTTATTGGCATCTATTCATGTTTGAGTATAACATTTTCAAACCCTAACTCTCTTCTGTTGATATTGCGCGCTTCTGCTGTCTCCATCATGGGTATTTTCTTTCTTCATCTTCTTCTCTAGGTTTTGGATTAGTTTTCAAATTAATGTATTGGATTCAATCTTGGTTATTGTGTTTACTTTTTCGCTCCATTTTGAAAGATTTTCGAATTTGAAGAGTAACAAGGTTAGAATGTAATCGGCATTTTGAAATTACTACTTTCCGCTTCATGTGAATTGGCATTTTTCGGTGATGTACTTGATTTCCTAGTCTTCTTTATAATTCCTTTTTTGTTTGCTGAATTTGAAATGTGTGAAAATTTAGGAAAATCTCTCTGCACCTTCAAGTGATCTTCTGGGAAAATTTCGGAATTGGGCTAAGACATCAACGCAGAGGCTTCTACTCGTACGAAAAACAGGTCTAAGACTGCTTTGTATTTCTTGAAAAAGAATAAGTGGTTTTCATGAGACAATAACTAGCTTAATTGCTTCAACTTATATAGTGGGTTGATGTTCACAATCACGTCCAAGCTCTGTATTGGATTGGAAGTATTGATAGTGTGCTTCAACTTATACGAATTAATTTACATTGAACTATTTGTTCTTTGAACATATTTTCATAAATAACTTTTAACCTTCAATTATTCTAGATTATGAGTGTATCTAGAATAAGATTTATTCTAGAAAAAAATATATTTAAATAACATTAAATATGAATAGTTGGGTAGAATAAGTATAATTAACTATATTTTAACTTTTTTTTTTTTTTGATAACATACTATATTTTAACTTTAGTAGATAATGTAATGAGTTTTCAATACTCTAATAATACTGCAGATTTTTACATTCTTAAAAAAATTTAAGAGCCTGTATATTGTCTATTCTCTTCATTATTATGCTTATATATGATTTCTCTCTATGACCATGTTATTTCAATTACAAAGTACTATATAATATGAACACATGCATGCTTCTTTTTATATATGGCAGCAAGCACCAGGATCTGTATGCCGAACTTGCTCTTGACCAAACACAAGGAGAAATCATGCAGGTAAAAGATCAGGAGAGAGAAAATCAGCATGTAGTTTTCCAATTCCATTAGTATAGGGAAAAAAATAAAAAATAATACCGTGTTAAATTCTGTGTGTATACATTAAGTATTCTTTACAACTTTTGTTGACACCAGAAATTTCTAGGCTCCATTTTTACAGCTTCATATAAATAAAAACACTTCTTTCTGTGTAGAAAAAGATAATCAAAAGAATGGTTAGTCCTATTTATGTGTCCATATCTCAATGGTATAAGTGGTAAAGATAGAGGGTAACAATTTAGATTAGAACAGATTTATGAGAATAGAACTCTATTTAAATTAGAAGCCAGCTATTGCTTCACCCCGAGGCAAAGCTTTAAGAGAGTTTGGCACACAAGGGAGACATCCCAGTATCAAACTTCAAGAAGAATCAAAACCCCAAATGTTTGATGTAGCAAATAAACAAACTAACAAATAAAAATCATTCACACAGTATGCTAAAATTTGCACAAAACTGACACTGCATACTGCAAATTACAGAAGTGAATCCAAATTAGCATGGGAATTGTCCCTAATCTTTCTTAAATTCATTCATTTGACAACTTATGAGTTATTCATCCCATAACATCAAACAGAAAATTTTATGCAAATTAGCAATTGAAAAGCAGAGAAAAAAGAAATAAATAATATACATCGCATAAATAAGGCTTTTTCACCCTTTTGCCCCTTATTAATTAATTAATAACCATTTTGCCCCTGATTCGAAACTATCTACCAATCTGCCCATCTTTAATCGACTACCTTACATTTTTAATCGACTAAACGGTTGTTGGGAGATTTAATCGACTAAATCTCCCTACTTAATCGATTAAAATCATACTGACTTATTTTTTTTTTTGTCAAATATGAAGATTTAGTCGACTAAATAGGGAGATTTAGTCGACTAAATCTCCCAGCAGCCATTTTTTGTCTGTTTTGGCCATTTAGTCGATTAAAAATGCAAGATAGTCGACTAAAGAAGGGCAGATTGATAAATAGTCTCGAATCAGGGACAAAATGGTTATTAATTAATTAATAAGGGGCAAAAGGGTGAAAAAGCCCATAAATAAACCTGATGGTAACCTAGCTTTTATCTTTCTGCTTTGACTTTGACCCCATTCAATTATGTTTAGAATCTCACACGTTAATTTTTTTTTATTCAGGCTTCAGATTCAGTCTTGTCTCATCTAATTTTTCATAGAGCAGTTTATAATGTGGATTTTAACTAGGGTTACAGGACCTATGACTAGTGAGTGGATAGGATTTTGCACCTGGATACAAGCTTTTTAAACTCAAAGATCCCTTTTGTCATGTTGTTATTGTGGCCAACACACATCTTTATTGGTGATGAAGTTATTCTGTGTATTTATGTGTGCGCGCTCCTTTTCTTTTTTTCTTTTTTGACATAATGAAATTTCGACTTAATATGGATTGAGTTACGTGAAAATGGGTTTGCTTAACTTTAGTGGTGGAATTTATATATGACTTATAAATTTCTGCTTCAGGGATCCTGAATGGGCTGATGTCAAGTTGGCGCAAGCTAAATATCTAATTATTTAAATATCTAATTATCTAAATATCCTCAAAACGCTTCATCAATCTACTGGGTCAATTGAGGTTTGTTGAACTATGGTTATTTTTGATTGGTCATTTTTTATTTTCTTATTTTTGGATAAATTATTCTTTATTTTGTTGTATTTGTGCTAAAAATATTATTTTTTTAATTTTAATGCAGGTAACGGAGCAACATTTTCGTGCTCAACCTTCTTCGTATTCTGCTACTCATCAGCCATAGTAGATTACTTATGTTTAAACATTTTAGTTGTATTGACATTGTGATTACTTTTACGATTAATTTGTAAAAGAGTTATGTACTTTGTTTTTGTCATATATTTGGATCTATTAATTTTTAATGTTAGACTTTTTAAATTGATTTTGTAATTGTATTTAGTTTTTTTTTTATATATTTTAATGACAGGTTTGATTGTAGACAATTAATGTATTTATGATTAATGAAATCATTGTTGGAGTTTGAGTCAAATTATGTAATTTTAATAAATTTTACAATTCAGTGGCGATTTAAAATATTTATATTTACTAAAAAAAAATTTATATTCACTGAAACAAACACAAAAATTTAATTAAAAAAAATAAAAAAAATAGAGTTACATGATTTAGCGGCGGTTCTAAACCGTCGCTATTAATAAAAAATTATTTATTACTTTTTGTAATTGGTGGCGGTTTCTATACATTCAGCGTCGGTTGTGTATTTCGCGTCAGTTATTCCGGCGGTTGCAGTAAACCGTTGCTAAATTATTCTACGTCGCCAGTTTCTGAGTCGGTTTACAATTGCCACTGATTATTTTAGTGGCGGTTCAAACCGCCGCTAAAGATGAAAAAAACCGACGCTAAATCCCGGTTCTGGTGTAGTGTGCTTTTACAAGTTATTAATTATGGGTGTCTAGATGTAACTTAAAATAAGAAAAAAGAGTTGAAATTACAAAATAAATATATAAATAAATAAACAGTTTGATTTTAGGATCTGGATCCTCTCGTGTGAAAATTCACATGATCGTGTCATGTGGGGAATCATAACCTTACAAAGATGAATCAATGGTAATAAAAGAGGAGAGAAAAAAATGTTAAAATAAGTAGTTACGAAACCATAATCGTTGATTTACTTTTGTATGGTTGTGATCTTCTCACATGACCATATCATGTTTTTTTTTCCATATGAGAGGATCTATTTCCCTGATTTTGCTTGTGATGTCCTAAAGGTCAAAGGTCTCGTCTTAGAGTGCTACGCGCTCTTAACTAATTAATTTCACTTTTCTATATTTTTTAGATTCACTCTTTAATTAATTTTCGAAGTCTAAATCTGTAGTTGTAAAAAACTAATCCCACAAACTACCAAAAATAAAATAAAATTAATCCCACTATCATTATTATCTTTGGTGTGGCAAAATGTCATAGGTGCAACTTACAGGAAAAGTAAACTGGAGAAAATATCATGTTACTTTAATACCTTACATATTTTATGGAAATTAAAAAAGTTTAAAAAATTAGGGTGTGTGTGTTAGGAGTGTGTGTAGTGTAGGGTGTTGTGTTCAATTCTATGTAACCTAAAAAAAAAAGAAATTAGACGGAGGATGAAGGAATGTTTTTAGTCAATTATTTTTATAACCGTTAAGTTATTTCAATCCGACAGTTACTATACAGTTGTACTACCTACGAAACGCTGTTGTTGGTCTCTTCGTTTTAGTTAAAATTTTGGAATTGTTGGAGATTCCATATTTGACAGAGTTAATCATTTAAAGCCATTTATTATCACGTGTGCACAATCATAAAAAAGGAAACATAAAGAATAAAATAAATCTAAATTTTAAATATGTATAGAATATCTAAATTTTGAAGCTGTAGATATACTTTTAGTTGTGTAATATTTATAAAATCGGGATTTAAGATATGATTTACCCAAGATTACGAGATTAAATTCAAACCATACAAACCTTATTTACAGTTGAAGGCTTAACAAAAAAAAAAGATTAGTTTACCGAAAAAAAAGGAAAAAAGAAAGAACATTAGTTTACCGAGAAGTTGAGAATATTAGGGAAGGGGTCCTTTGCTATTGTCTACCTTGCTGCCATGGTTGCTCCAGAGAAATGCATAGGGAATGTGGTGGCTGTGAAGAGTTCAATGCCTCACTCAATAGGTTCATTGATGAGAGAAGAAAGTATAATCAGATCGTTGATTGGTTGTGAAGAATTGCTTCAATGCCATTTTGGCCAATTCACTATTGAGAAGGGTGAATTCATCTATAATCTTGTTATGAAATTTGCACCTTATGGTTCTCTCTGAGACTTAATTAGGAAGGGGCCACTGTTTGAAAGTGAGGCAAAAATCTATACCATTATGCTTCTTAAAGGGCTTTCTTGCATTCATCAAGCTGGAGTTGTTCAAGAATGATGCTGAGTATTGTGATTTAAAGCCCGATAACATTCTTCTCTTTCCTTCATCCAAGAATGATGCAAAGTATCAACTCAAGATTGCAGATTTTGGATTGTCCAAGACTAAAGAAGAGATTATCAATGCTGAGTATTGAAATTTCAGGTTTAGAGGGACACCATTATACATGTCACCAGAATCAGTTAAGGGTCATATTGAAACATCATTGGATATATGGTATCTTGGATGTATAGTCATATAGATGATCACTGGGTTATATGTATAGAGGAACCCTCCAACTTCAAAGGAGATGATTCCAACTACAAATGAGATGATGTACAAGCTTGCTGTCTTTGAAGAAGCACCAAAGATTCCTAATGGAATAAGTGAGGATTGCAGAGATTTCTTGAGCAAACTTTTCATCAAGAATCCTAGTCAGAGATGGACTGCTAGCAAGCTTCTCCACCATCCTTTTCTATTTTCTCCATATGATTCTTTTAGAGGTTATGAAAGATTTCATATGGTTAATTCGTTGTCCTCATATTTCACTTATGATTGTAATTGGTTATTATTTAAGGCATAACTTTCTGGTTTTGTTGGGTAAGAGGATGCCTTTAGGGTACAAATTTTGTTTGTGTATGCTTTCTGTTTCGTTCTTGACGACAAATAAAATTTCAAATAAAATCTCATTTGATATATTTTATTTCTCACAAACATAATTTAAATTTAAATCAAGTAATCCTTCTTCCTTAGAAATTTAGAATATTTATTTAATTATTTTATTTATTAATACAAATTTTTCAAATTGATTTTTGAGTTTAAATCACAAATTAAATCTTTATTTTGTTTTTCATATTAATAATAATTTTTATTTTTTTAATTTAAATCACACATCAAATCTTGATTTATTTTTTATATTAAATCACAAACCCAAAACTCAGAGGCTTCTGAGTTTAAAAATGTGACACATGTCAACACCTGACACGTCATCAATGACGTCTAAATTGAGTTTCAATCAAGAGGCAATCACGCCTAATTTAGGTAATTTTATTTTTGAAAAACATTCATAAGCTATAATTAATTTTAGACCACAAATAATAACCTAGAAGCTTATAACATGAATCATTAATTTCAAAAATAATATCCTTCTTCCTTAGAGATTTAGAATATTTTTATAATTATTTCCTTTATTTCTACAGATTTTTCAAATTGATTTTTTAGTTTAAATCACAAATCAAATCTTTATTTTGTTTTCCTTATTAACTATAATTTTTACTTTTATTTTTAATTTAAATCACAAACCAAATTTTTGTTATAATAAAAAAATTATTATAAAAAAAATTTAAATCACAAATTAAAATTTTATTTATTTTTTTATATTAAATCACAAATCCAGAACTAAGAGGCTTCTGGGTTTAACCGCTCTTATAATATCATTCTTGCAAATTTAAATTGTGTTTGTGAGAAATAAAATATGTCAAATGAGATGTCATTGCGTAGATCTCGAAAAGTTATGTGAAATCAAAAAAAGAATTACCTGATTTCAATACCTGAGTCAAAAGTTATGGCCTTCGTAAGTTTTATGATTAAATTATTTTTTTTTGGAAAAGAAATATGACACGTGTCAACGAGTGACGCCTAAATTAGGCGTGATTGCCTCTTGAGTGATGCCCAAGTTAGGCGTCTTTAGTGACGCCCAAATTGGACGTCATATTGTGCAATAAATGTGTAATTATTTTCAAAATTGTAATAAATACGTAATTAATTTATTTAAAAGCATTAAATTAATTTTTTTGCCTTCATAAGTCATAATTAATTTCAGACCACAAATAATAACCCAAAAGCTTATAGCATTAATCTTTAATTTCGAAAATAATATCCTTCTTCCTTACAGATTTATAATATTTATTTAATTATTTCTTTTATTTTTACAGATTCTTCAAATAGATTTTTTAGTTTAAATCACAAATCAAATATTTATTTTGTTTTCCTTATTAATAATTATTTTTATTTTTATTTTTAACTTAAATCCCCAACCAAATTTTTGTTATAATAAAAAAATTATTATAAAAAAAATTAAATCACAAATCAAAATTTTATTTATTTTTTTATATTAAATCACAAATCCAGAACTTAGAGGCTTTTGGGTTTAACCGCTCTAATAATACCACTCTTGCAAATTTAAATTGTGTTTGTGAGAAATAAAATATGTCAAATGAGATGTCATTGCGTAGATCTCAAAAATTTATGTGAAATCAAAAAAAGAATTACCTGATTTGAATACCTGAGTCAAAAGTTATGGCCTTCGTAAGTTTTATGATTAAATTATTATTATTTTTAGAAAAAAAATATGACACGTGTCAACGAGTGACGCCTAAATTAGGCGTGGTTTCCTCTTTAGTGATGCCCAAGTTAGGCGTCTTTAGTGACGCCCAAATTGGACGTCATATTGTGCAATAAGTGTGTATTTATTTTCAAAATTGTAATAAATACGTAATCAATTTATTTAAAAGCATTAAATTAATTTTTTTGCCTTCATAAGTCATAATTAATTTCAGACCACAAATAATAACCCAAAAACTTATAGCATTAATCTTTAATTTTGAAAATAACATTCTTCTCTTTCCTTCATCCAAGAATGATGCAAAGTATCAACTCTAGATTGTAGATTTTGGATTGTCCAAGACTAAAGAAGAGATTATCAATGCTGAGTATTGGAATTTCAGGTTTAGAGGGACACCATTATACATGTCACCAGAATCAGTTAAGGGTCATATTGAAACATCATTGGATATATGGTATCTTGGATGTATAGTCATATAGATGATCACTGGGTTATATGTATAGAGGAACCCTCCAACTTCAAAGGAGATGATTCCAACTACAAATGAGATGATGTACAAGCTTGCTGTCTTTGAAGAAGCACCAAAGATTCCTAATGGAGTAAGTGAGGATTGCAGAGATTTCTTGAGCAAACGTTTCATCAAGAATCCTAGTCAGAGATGGACTGCTAGCAAGCTTCTCCACCATCCTTTTCTATTTTCTCCATATGATTCTTTTAGAGGTTATGAAAGATTTCATATGGTTAATTCGTTGTCCTCATTTTTCACTTATGATTGTAATTGGTTATCATTTAAGGCATAACTTTCTGGTTTTGTTGGGTAAGAGGATGCCTTTAGGGTACAAATTTTGTTTGTGTATGCTTTCTGTTTCGTTCTTGATGACAAATAAAATTTTGAATGATGAGAAGTGTTGTATGTGTTAATTATTTTTTTTGGTTTCTGTTCCGTTATTGGTTGATGGTTGGTTCTGCATGTGTCACGTTGTTATTTACTGTTCTGTTATTAATCACTATCCAATAATAGATAAGCATCAGGTAAGAAATCTACTTGATGAGTTGTTCTGTTATTAATCACTATCCATTTCTAAAAGATACTGTTTGAATATATTGAGCATCTGTAGCTGTTTTATATTGATTTGACTGTGAACTTAAAAGTTGATACGTGAGTGCAGAGAGCTATTGTATCTTGTTAAGTTGATTTTATTTGGTTAAAACAATGATCTTGCATTGAATATCTGCATCGCTCTATAATTAGCTATGGTCGTCACATTCAACATCCTGCTTACTTCTGTATTCTCGCTTGAATTGGAAAATCTTGTGATAGATGAGTTTGTGTAGTTGAATAATTGTCACTTAACCAAAATTGTTACTATAGTTTGAGTTTGAAGTCATATAGTAGTGATCTCTGTCATATCTGATAAACCTGCTATGATTTGATTCAGTTAGTGCTTCATTTGTTCTAATTTGGTCTAGTAGCTCGAGTAAGTGTCATTTGAATTAATCTGATTGGGTAGTAATTGTCTTTTGCAAAGTATTTTTAGTCTGAAAATAAAATCTATCTTCTTATCCATTAATATCTGGTTTGCTTTGTGAAGACAGCTTATTGGTTGTTCTGTTTAAGTTTAATTTATCCGAGTAAGTTATTGTTTTTCACTCGAGTAAATCCTATATAAATAGAAGATGCATTGATTGTAACAGTCTGAATAGCTGATCCTCTGTACTAACTTGTATTTCCTTTGCTGCTGTTCTCATATCTGAATATCGTATTAATTTATATACAAAGGTTGCATATTAATGCTGCCTGCCAATCAGCCTTGTACATTTATTCTGTTGAGTGAAACCTTATAAACTGAGTAAATTGCAATGAATGATATCTAGCTGATTTAGTCATATGCTAGTTGTCATATTGTTTCTGTTATGGAACTATTTTGTGGTTCTTTGTTCTGATTTAATTGCAAAATTAGTGAATACTGTTTTAAATAAATAATTGAATTGTGTTGGTCTGTTACCTCCCCTGTTACACGTATTGCTTATGATATAAATAAGTCTTTTCAATTTGTCGTGCTTGGTAAATATTTCAAGTACAGTGTGTAGGCAAAAAAATTAATTTAATGCTTTTTAATAAATTAATTATGTATTTATTACAGTTTTGGAAATAATTACACATCTATTGCACAATATTACGCCCATTTTGGCGTTACTAAAGACGCCTAAATTGGGCGTCACTCAAGAGACAATCACGCCTAATTTAGGCGTCACTCATTGTTGACACGTGTCATATTTTTTTTCCAAAAAAAAAAAAATCTTAAAACTTCTGAAGGCTATAACTTTTGACTCGGGTATCCAAATCAGGTAATTCTTTTTTTGATTCCAGAAAACTTTTCGAGATCTACGCAATGACATCTCATTTGATATATTTTATTTCTCACAAACATAATTTAAATTTAAATCAGGTAATCCTTCTTCCTTAGAAATTTAGAATATTTATTTAATTATTTTATTTATTAATACAGATTTTTCAAATTGATTTTTGAGTTTAAATCACAAATTAAATCTTTTTTTTTTTTTCAAATTAATAATAATTTTTATTTTTTAATTTAAATCACACATCAAATCTTGATTTATTTTTTATATTAAATCACAAACCCAAAACTCAGAGGCTTCTGAGTTTAAAAATGTGACACATGTCAACACCTGACACGTCATCAATGACGTCTAAATTGAGTTTCAATCAAGAGGCAATCACGCCTAATTTAGGTAATTTTATTTTTGAAAAACATTCATAAGCTATAATTAATTTTAGACCACAAATAATAACCTAGAAGCTTATAACATGAATCATTAATTTCAAAAATAATATCCTTCTTCCTTAGAGATTTAGAATATTTTTATAATTATTTTCTTTATTTCTACTGATTTTTCAAAATGATTTTTTAGTTTAAATCACAAATCAAATTTTTATTTTGTTTTCCTTATTAACTATAATTTTTACTTT